TCCTACACCTCGTCCCCCTCATATCTACTTATTATAGTCCCTTCACTTTATAAAGCGTAAATTAATTCCCAAATGAACAAACGTGAGTCTCAAGCCGTACATTCTCTTGGCCCTACTCAATCCAACCACTTCTATCTCTATCGCGATCGCACGGAGGTGAGCCGTTTCGCTTGACTTATTAACCTCTTTATACGTACGAAAACTGCTGGCTTTTCGGACCCGAAAAACAAGTACACATTGGCGTTGAAATCATTGATAGACTGTAGGTTAGCCATAAAAGTAAAGGTAAAAATTTGAGGGGACACATACAATACTCCTCAGCGACCCGCAATGAGTAAACAGAAGATCGCGATCGAACAGCTACTTTTCAGCGCACAAGCAAAGTGCACCCCACAGAGCTTTTCATAAGGGCAGATGTTAATGTATCACTCATTCTGGAATGATCTGAACCATAGCTTGAAGAAACTCAAGTACAGCCACCTGCAATTCACGAAAGAGCATCGCAGAGGATAGAATTCGATTCAGAGCTAGCGGCAACGATGAGCGGGTGTACTATCAAGACCAGTTCTTCAAATCGACTTTGAAAAAAAAAACGGCATAGCGCTAAGAAAGCAATCAATGACGAACGCTATCCAACCCATTGAAATTCACGCTCAAGCGAATCATCCTGAGAGGAAAGAAAGTAAAGCGCGCAGTAAGAGATACTACTTTACAACTATATTATGAGAAAAGGGTAGTTGAAAGGAGCGAATCTTGAAACAGTTTTTCTTCGCCAGCAATGACTGATTGGTTATTACAGATCGATGCTATCACCATTACAGTAATTCCAAAAGGTAAGTAAAAGGATAAAGCTTTTGGCACAATCTTGTGGATACGCCGTGCACTCTACTTCCAATGGAAATCACAGTGGCATTTTTAATGCGATTTGGCCTATACATTAATTTGCGGGGCAAGTCGATCTACAAGCCAGTGGATTCACTCCCGAACAAGTCTGTTACCAACGCCGTTCGTATGGAAGGATTGGCTGACTACGGCATGAAAACCATTA